GAGATGAGGAGATATGGCATGGAAGTGCTAGGAATCTGTGAAAGCAGATGGTATGGAATGGAAGTGGACTCTGCAGATGGACTGTCAACTGCAGAGTCAATTATCTACTCCGATATTGTCACTCAGACGACAACCATGAACACAGTACACTGAGAATTCAAGTAGCCATCATCATGTCTCGAAGAACATCGAAGGCTCTCTCTCTCTCATGCAGTGGGAACCAATCTCCTACTCCTACACGATCACGATCATGACATCAGGGTTCAACTCAAAAGGAAGGAAAGTCATAATCATTCAATGCTACGCTACACTACCATACACACCTACACACCTACAAATAATGCAGACCAACAGAATAAGCAGGAATTCTACAGACAACTGCAATCAGTACTGGACAAGACCCAACTCCAGATGGCGACATCAAAATTCCAATGCGTGGGGTGACATGAATGCCAAACTCGCAGCGGACAACACAGGAAGAGAACTCATCAGTGGTTGACAAGCACTCGGTCAGTTGATGAAGGAGGATGGAGAACTGTCTGCAGATTTCTGTGCATTCAACGATTTGCTGATTCCAGTCAGGCAGTGTGTTCAAGTACAAGGATATTCACAAGGCAGCGACATGGATTTCATTTCACCAGACACCACACCAGGACACACTAAAAATCACATCGACTTCATCTCAGTGTGAAGAAAGTGGAGACACAGCCTACTGGACACAACATCAGATGAAGAAGAGGAGCAGATGGAGGTGATTCACACCACTCACCATCTAATCTAGTACAAGAAGCCTACCTACCTACCTACCTACCTACCTTCAAATCAAGTTCAAAGCCTTCAAAGAAGTTGGTGATGATAGACCACAGTTCAAGTTGAACAACCACCCACAACAGAAACTGAACTCAAGCACGAAACTACGAACCACATCTTCACGTCAGCCATCAGAACAAAATAAGAGGCACTGAACAACATCTCTGAAGAAACCTGCATGGAAGAACACTAGAACTCTCTGGAAGATACGTGGAAGGAAACCTGCATAACCGTGTTAGGAAGGAAGGAGAAACAAGACAAGACAAGACAAGACAAGACAAGGAATGCATCACGACGGATACATACAAGCTGATAGAGCAGGGAGAGGAAGATGGTGGTGGTGATGGTGAAGCAGAAGATGAACCAGTGCAGTGCAGGGATGTACAACGAAAACACGAACTGAGTACAACATATAAAACACTCACTACGTTGGACAAAGCAGTGGAGGAGAGTGCACGCAAAGACAAAAGACACTTCCACAACACACTGGCAAGTGGAGCACAACACGCTGCTGGTAGGAGAGACAGAAACCTGACAACATCCTATCAAATAACCAGGTTACTGTCTGGGAGGGAAGAGATCAACGTAGTTGAAATCAATGGAAGATAGTGAAGGAAACCTGGTTACCAAAGAGGAGAAACAAAGGGAATGATGGGCTAGCCACTTCGGAAAGCTCTTGAATCGAACACCACCACCACCACCTGCAACTCGTCCACAAATACCACCAGCATCCAAGCCACAGAACATCCAGTGAACACAGGCTCTCTGACAAAAGCAGAAGTCATCAACGCCATAAAACTGCTGAAATCCAACAAAGCAGCAGGACCAGATGGAATCCCGCCAGGAGCACTGAAAACACACACACACAGACATCAGTAGCGGACATGCTCACACCATTATTGCAGAAGGTTTGTAAGGAAGGAAAGATACCTTCCGACTGGAAGAGGGGCTACCTTGTCAAACTTCCAAAGAAGGGGAACCCAAGTTTTTGCAAGAACTGGTGCGGAATCATGCTCCTGCTAGGTGGACTACACATCAGACAGTGTCTTTCTTTATGTCTGAAATTGGTGCTGGCTAAAAATAGGCGGTTATCTGAGCATAGTTGTTATAGACGATCACCGTTATCTGTACGTTCAGCCGGGACTCCAAAAGTGCCACCTAAGTGCCTTTCGGCCTCACTTAGTCTACGCATCCGTGCATTGAAGTCACCTGCAACAACCACCACGTCCGAACGTTTGGCTTTCGAGAGGAGGTTAGACAGTTTACAGTAAAACTCGTCCTTCACTTCAACCGAGCTGTAGTCAGTGGGTGCGTAAGCAGAGATTACAAAGAAACAACGGCGAGTCTCACTATTCCTTTTAGTTCTCACTGTGCCGTTCAGTCGGATAGCGCAGAGGCGACTGTCAACTGGGATCCAGTCTAATAGTGAGTTTTCTACCCTATTGCTTAATGCTATACATACACCTGCAAGACCACGAGAGCTAGCTATCGAATCTCCAGAAAATAGAAGGGTGAATTTTACGGATTCACCAGATTGACAAGGAGAGGTCAGGTTAATAAACCACACTTGGGTGCTGTATGCGTGTCTCACAAACGCAGCACATATCCATGGTCCGAGTTGCTAGAGAGAGTCTTTGCCAACGAAGCCTGACTTATTGACGGAGGGTGCGGACATTGAAGGCTCTAATATGTAATTTGGAGTGTGGTTTAAGAAGACCAGGGATGCTGTTTTGTGGACTGACTATTGTCGAAGGCTGCAGGGCTAGGAGAAATTGAAGATGATGTTGTATTGTTAATTGAGAGACGGGAAGGAAGATTAGAAGGTAATGATGGGGGAGGTGGATAGCAGTCTGAGGAAACTTGAGTGTTGATAGAGTTGTGAAAGCGGTTGACACTTCCCAGCTGCCCGCCTACACAGTGGAAGTTAAAAAATGTGCAAGAGTTCATGATACGTGTAAGGGATGTATTTAACAGATTAATACAAATATGATTAAATATATCCAGTGGAAAATTCTTGGTAGCCCAATATTTAAGCAAACAACCGTTTCTTGACAGATACATAGGATCCATTTGTTATTTGCCAACTTGCTCTATCTGTGGCAACAACTGGCGAGATATCCAACTATCTAACATAGGAAGAGTATGCTGCGCTGCAGTTCGTTCTGTCCCGTTATACCGCTGAGACATAACGATTCAAAGTAGGTATAAAGCGATTACCATTTTCACATTCTCCCTTTTCGTATTTTATATTTCTGTTGACTGGATTTTCTTTTCCTCATCTTTCACTTCATTGCCTTTTTGCTTGATGTAATGATATGAGCGTGTGGAGCGAGAAGAGGAGGATACGCTGGACTGCGGAAAAGGACCTAGAAGAACTGGATTTCGCCGATGACTTGTGCTTGATGTCACATAAACTTGAAGATCTACAGGCAAAAACTAACAAGTTGATAGAAGAGGCAGCGAAGACGGGACTTCAGGTGAATATAGAGAAGATAGAGGTGATGAAGATACCCAACCAACAACAACAGCAACAAGAAGCTCCAATCACCATCAACAGGAGAAACTTAAAGGAAGTAGCCTCTTTCACCTATCTAGGGAGCACTGTTTCAAATACAGGTGGCGGCACAGAAGAGCACGTCAAAGTCAGGATCGGAAAGACAGCAAGACAGGCGTCCACTAACCTGAAACCAGTGTGGAGATCTTCTGCACTCGGCATAAAGAACAAGATCCCAGTTTTCAACACCAACGTCAAGTCAGTGCTCTTGTATGGTTCAGAGACTTGGCGCGTCACGAAAGGGATTTCCAATAAACTACAGACATTCATCAACAACTGCTTACGCTCGCTACTGAAGATCAGATGGCCAGAAAGAATAAGCAACAAGGAGCTCTGGGAACGAACCAACCAAGAACTTATCGCCCAACAAATATGCAGGAGGAAGTGGAGATGGATTGGGCATGCACTGAGAAGGCCGACTGGGGACATCACGTGTCAGGCCCTCGAGTGGAATCCCCATGGGAAGCGACGAGTTGGACGTCCGAGGGTGACATGAAGGAGGTCGTGCGAGGAGGAAATGAGAGCTTCTGGGCTGTCGTGGAACCAGGTTCAAAAGATCTCAGAGACTAGAGGTCACTGGAGACGTGCTACTGAAGCCCTATGTTCCATTAGGAACCCAAGAGACTAATAATAATAATGATATGAGCTGTGGCAACTAGGACCGTTACGCAGTAATGCCCGGTTTTATGTTAATAGATGATGATGATGATGATGATGATGATGATGATGATGATGATGATGATGATGATGATGATGATGATGATGATGATGATGATGATGATGATGATGATGATGATGATGATGATAGTGTTTACAGGTTTTTTACCTTTAGTGTCTTCGTAGCATTGCTCATGCAAGGTAGAATCCACGTGTGGGCGATGATGAGGTCAGGAGGGAGGTACTAGGCAAGGGAGGCAAGTCAGACGATGACGCAGTGAACCTTGACGAATTGAGGTGGCTTGCACATGTGTCGTGCATGTCGATCCATTGCCTACCTCAACATGCAGTGTTAGTCGAAGTAGGATTGTGCTGGAAGAAGGCTCAGGATGGCCACATCAAAACATGGCATCCATCCATGAAGTCTCCAACTGTCGGTGTGAGCCGTGTAGGAGGATGTAGACTGCCTAGCTGGGATTCACGGAATAACAGGAATTATCGGTTACAGACCCTTGCTGACATAGCTGAGAATCGGTCACAATGCATGAGATGTATTCACTCCTTGACTTCTTCGGAAGTTTAAACACTTTCACCAATCTTCAGTTTTAAATTCTTTCTTCTCCTATACACTTTTATCTACTTTGATATCACTCAGTTGATATCCACTTGTTTCTTGAACGCCGCTGTACAGCATGATAAGCTAGACCGATGAACTTGGTATCGAAATTTTCGTTGATATAACGCAAAACTTGGGATTCAAAACACCTGAGAAAAGAAACTTTTACGCTTCAAACAGAACAGAATAAACCACAAAATCCCAAAACTACGAAAAAGAACGAATGCGCAATTGTTTAATTACATTACTCTTGCTATGTTTCAGTGCAGCGAAGTGAAATGAGGCACTCGAAAATGTAAACTAACCATATGACCCGTTAGTAGGAGAAACGTAGAAAAGACTGTAAAAATCATACGAACTTACCAATCAAAACATGTGGAGGTGACATTCGCATCAAGTCAGCTTGTTGAGTAATAGGAACACCACCCACCAATAAAACGGTAGACAAGCCAATGATTTTCCCAAGCGCATTAAACTGGGATTGAACTTGGGCCGCTAACTCACGTGTAGGAGCTAACACGAGAGCAAAGAATGGATGGGGATCTCTCATTAATTTCTAAACTACTCAATAGTTGGTAATTAGGAACAGCTCACCTGAATTATGGGCAATGCATAAGCACCAGTCTTTCCCGACCCTGTTTCGGCTAGAGCAACTACATTTCTGCCTAAACGTTTCCGATTATAATGGACAATGAATAATATAACCTTCCAAAGCTGGTGGAATAGCTAAAGTCTGAATTGCGGTTGGTTCCTTCCATTGTAGATTACGACACGCTTTCTGTAGCTCATCATCGACACCCTGATTTTTATTAATGGTAAAAAAATCTTACCAACTCTAGAAAAGTCCTCTTTTCCGCCATTTGACGTCCAAAAATCAAATGTATTCACGTCCTGTTCAAAAACGATCAAAAGTCATAAGACGAAAGCTATAAAAGTTATACCACATTTAATTGTTAAATAAATATCAATTGATTCAGTTCCAATAGGATAAATAACATGTGATAAATATTTTCCTTAAAACTATGAGTATTGTGTGGTTACTTGAACTATTACGCAATAACCCAACGTCATATTGACGTCTACCTGCAGAAGTGAATTAAAAATAATAACATATTAAGGTTACTGAAAAAACATATCTAGCATGCTCTAACAGTACAATAATAGTGACAGGAGATAAAAACTGTGTATGCAACATGTAAGCAGGTCAGTTGATGAAACAACGGTGATGAACCAACTACAACGACTGAAGTGTTGCTATGAACAAAGAAAATTTAGGAGTAAACATAACTGAGTTGGAAGGAACAGAAAGGTGAACAGAGAAAAATTGTGAAGATCCAATAAACCGTTCAGTCAAACAAAGTGAGAAGTCAGAATATCAGAGTAACGTCAATATAAAGGACCAGACAACTTATCCAACGTTCCACAAAAGGATGGAAATTAGACTATAATCAGGGGTCCGACTGAATCGTTTGATAATCGACAACAAACTGAAAGTGTTCCATCATTCTGCAGCAACACCATTGTCGTACACACCTCTAAAAGATTTCACGAAACGTATGCAACTCTCATTAGGGTAGCAGTCTACTACCAGTAGCATCTAACCATACTGCCGAGGGTCTTCGATACGTCTGAAGAGGTTATTCTGAAGGAGCGACCGCGTTTCTATCAAGCCCTGGACCTACTGATCACATGTTCACCCTCCGTCAGATGCTCAATCAGTCGGTATCAACATGTAATTTAGCGTCACTGTTCAAGCGACTACACCTCACATCAGCGCATCAAGATACAAGGCAACAAAATGAAGGATAGAGAGCTATGGAAAAAATGTGGTGAATGGTCGCAGAACGAGGGAGAGGTGTTAAGCAAAAATCGTAATGTGGTTTGACGATTCGAATGAAGGCAGTATGTAGATGCATCTACACCACTGAGGTCGATTCTGAGTCATATATTTTATAATCTCCAACCACCAGTTTCGGCTGTCATAGGAATCCTAGACATGGAAGTCTAGAACGCCATCAACAATGGTTGTGTTGTTCGATGTTTGGGCTGCCTTTAATATCTTGGAGAAGACCACACACTTGATTGATGTCATAAAGATGTGTTCCTGAGAATTTTATCAACATCTTTAGAACACCTCAAGCAGCGTAAGAGCATACAACCAACTCTCTCCATTGTTTCAAACCAACTGTGGGATTGAGTCAGGTTTCGCGATTTCACCATTTCTCTTTTACTTTAACATCGATGATATTTTCCTGACACTTTTGAATGAGGTGGGTAGTGATGATGTGGACCTTTTACCACGTAAAAGGCTTTCCAACCTCGAGTATGCGAACAGTATCGTTTCACTGTGTAACAACACTTAGATTACTCAAATCACACCTTATCAGTTGACGATGATCAGTGTTCGTACATAGGGTATGTAACATGAGCTGGTAATGTGGAAAGTGCATTCACAAGACTGACAGGAACGGACGCTTGTATTCACCCTTGGTAGTGAACCGTTGGAAGTAGTCGAAAGGTTTGGGCAGCTGGATAGGAGTGAGTGTTACTGGAGATGTGACTGATGAGATCTCTAGCTATAGGTTCAAAATGATGAATTACTGACTGACAAAATCAACGTAGAAACTCGCACAGGTGCATGGGCTTAAGTTGCCACGCTTTTCACTTGTAAACAAAGAACACGTGAATAAAAAAATGGTGATACCAAAGTAGACAAAGTTGTATAAGAGAACAAACAATTTGAAGATAACGGTTAGTGCAAATATTCAAGATTTAAAAGATGTCAAGGGGTGAATACATATGCATCATTGTGACCGATTTTCAGACATGTCATCAAGACTCCTCAACCACTAATTCCTTTCGTCTCGGGAACTCCAACCAGACAGTCTGCATCTCCCCACACGACTCAGACCAACAGTCAGGGACTTCATCAGCTGTTGCCATGTCTTGGTCTGGTCACCCTGAACCTCCTCCCAACCTAATCCAACTTCCCCTAACATTGGACGTCGAGGCAGTGGTGGCTTGGCGTGCCCCGTACATATCCAAGCAATCTCCGTCAACTGAGGTTCACAACCTCATCAATCGACTTACCTAGTATCCTTCGCTTGACCTCAACATTGCTCACACGGTGACTTTACCGAACGCGAGCAACAATACGAAGACAACTGTGATCAAAACCTTGCAACCGTTTCATGTCTTCTACTTTTAACAGCTATGTCTCAGCCGTACAACGACAGGACGGGCTGCAGTACAGAATATTCATCATTCGATAGATAGTAGGATATCTCGCCAGTCGGCTGCATAGATGATGCAAGTTGGCATGTGTTAAACGGGCCTTCTGTGTTGGAAGGCCCCAGTTTGCATAAAACATTGTTATTGAATTGAACGTTTCTAACCTGTCATCCTTACACATTTTTTACAGCATGACTAGTAGTTTTTTCCTTGCCCCCATTCGTAATGTAATTCGCTGGTTGGTTAATTCTTATTCTCACTATATTAATGCCTCAATTAGCGGGCAAGGTTATATCTCATGTTTATACATACTCATCTGTTTTTGAATTAATTGATTATTATTCTCATCCAGCTTCAATCTTCTCTATTCGCCCTGGGTTGCAGTTGGTGGCTTTTGAGTACGAAGTTAGCTGTCAGTTAAGCGTGCGTATAACATCTGTTCGGAATATGCACCCGAGATGAGATTCCGTTAGCAACCAGCCTGTTCGAACTGATGCAACTCCCCAAGTGAAGTGATCGTCACATTCCACCACTCCACTCCGTATCATTAAGCTAGGAGTCGTTGCAGATCAGACATTGAGCAGAACATTAAATTTCACAGGTGCAAAACGCATGCTAATCATACTCAGACATCTGCTCAATTGATCCAGAAGACCCTACACTTTGTCAGCATCTTCGTCTAGCAGGATAATATCGTCCACATGCTCCAAACCAACCAGATGGCCTGCTGAGAGTAAGTCAATCTTTGTGAGTCAGAGATACCTAAGGTTATATCCATTAGAACGTCTGTAGACAAATTAAATAGAAACGATGACAGTGGATATCCCTGCTGGACACCACTAGTTGTCATCGATTCCCATGATAACTCTCCAAACCGTGTCACGGTTGAGTTTGAGTAGAGAGCTTGAATCAGAGTTATAAGTACTTGCTCGGTACTCCTTTCATAGTCAAACACTGACATAATACCTCACAGTCGACAGATTAAAACGACCCCTTCAGGTCAACAAATGTGGAAAGTGTCGGCCGCCGGTATGTATAGTTGTGTTCCAAAAATTTGATCTATGCACTCTCGTCCAGCTTTGTCTGAAACCTGTCTGGTTTTCTCGAATCTGCTGTTCTCGAGCTCCAGTTAGGCATCGGAAAACTATGGACTCACTGATCTCGGATACAATATTAGTCAAAATAATTCCCTTATAGTTGTAACAGGGGGATAGTCTCCTGTTTTCTGCGACCAGTAAGGCATAAGCACAAACGAGCCCTAACTAGCGCCTGACAGCAGTCCAAACTGGTACTTAAGAAACAGCATGAATGCTTTATCGAACCTCTCCAATGATGGCTCATAGTCACCTGTTATTACGACATCTGAACGTTTCGCTTTCCCCAACAAGATTTACAGGTTCTCACATAGTTTGTCTTTTGCATCATCTAAACTACAGTCGTTAAATAGGCGGAGATTACTAATAAGCATCGCCTAAACTCACGATCCTTCCTGGTCCCTAGAGATCCATTCAGTCCAACAGCACATAGACGATTGTTGGCTGAAATCCAGTCAGGGAGCGCACTTTCTCCTCTACAGCTCAATGCAATGCCTACACCAGCGAGTCCACAAGAGTTGGCCACTAGGTCTGCGGATGCTCTTCAAGTGAATTTTGAAGACTCACTACTATGGTCAGGTGAGGTCAATTTGATAACCACATTCGGGTCCTCTTCGCATGTCCTCACATATACAGCATACATCCATGGCTCAAGATTCCAGAGTTTTACTCAGGATGCTTGCTGTCCGATTTTGCATAGAGTTTGGAAGTTGAAAGCTCCTACACGCGGTCTATGACACAGTCTTAGGAGACTAGAAATCAGGTTTCGATGGCTTCGATTTTTGGCATTGGTTGTAGAGTGAGCGATTCGGTAAAGCGTAAGAGGCTTAATATTATATATCAGGGAGTGAAAGGAAAGGAGGAGAGAGATTTGAGGAGGATAGGTTATGTTCAATCGGGTCTTGTCTTGTGTACTACTGGAAGCGTGTGGGCGGTTGACACCTCTCAGCTGCCCACATCGTGGAAGGCTATTTCTTCTTAAGGTACCTGGAAGAGAAGAAGATTTGTGTGACCACAGAGTTCATGGGATTTCTGCTTGAGGCCGGTCACACAACCTTTTGAGGGATGTTTCGCCAAACGGGAAGACCGTGGGGCATAGTGGAGTGCTATTTAGGGGTTAACTATTTTTAACCCATTCCTCGCGTTAGGGAAGGCAGCATCAAAGTAGCACTGCCAGTCATCCTAGGGAAACACGTTACTGCTGTCACACGCCATCCAGCTAGCAGCAGAGCGACTCTGCCCTCAGACCCCCCATCATAGTGTAGTAATTTACACCACAACTGTAACTGCTTTTCTTCTTACCACTATCCAACAGACCATTCTGGCATGGTAGGACCCCAAGTGAACAAGCGTTCTATCAGCATACCTCTTTGGGTTATTGTGATATGCAAACTCGACCACCACGTTAAGGTAGCAGCTATTGGTCGGGCATAGGTTGAAAGGTAGAACAGCATACGTCAGTCTCCCTTTCTCTTAACCCCGTGGTGACGTTAGTCTGTTCGCAGAAGTTATGGTATAAAATGAGTCGGTACAGG